GGCCCCCAAGCCCACACTTTGCCCTTTACCTTTTAGAATTTCTAAGCGTGATGTCGGCAGCCTGCTCAGGCACGCACACCTTGATTTTGAAATGGAATTGAATGGACAGTGTGCCTAGTTTACCCTGGCTGGTGTGGCTCAGAGGTTGAGCCACAACCTACAAACCAGGAGGTCACAGTTCGATTCCTGGTCAGGGCACATGCCTGGGGTTGCCGGCTCAATCCCCACTGGGGGCATGCAAGAGGCAGCCAATCAATGATTCTCTCCCGTCATTGATGCTTCTATCTCTCCCTCTCCCTTCCTCTCTGAAATCAATAAAAAATGCTTTTAAAAAAATGTTTCAAATTAAAGGCACAAATATTCGTTAAGTCATTTCAAAGGCTCTCTTGACACGAAAACAAGAGAATCAAAGAAAAAAGGGGAGTGGGCAAAATTACAGGAAAAAAATACAAAAGAAAAGGCAGAAGCAGAAAGATCAAAATAAAAGGAAGAAAACTAGAAACACTAAGGCATGTTCCATAAACTAGAAAACCCATTTAAAAGGAACATTAACAGAGGTAACAGCAGAGAACACCTTCAGTGGCAGGAAGATGGAGAAACTAAGAACAACAAAGACAATGTTGCCCGGTGAGCAGATAGAAGAAAGTGAACAATCAATCAAATATTATTATTATAATATCAGTGCCGTGTTACATCTCACGAGTGTCTACACTATTATTCAGCCACTTCAACCAGATGGAACAGAGCTGAGAACTGGAAAGCCAGGGGGAAAAGGATTCCCCAAACAGCCGACACTGCCAACCACACTACAGAAGCTCCAGCGCTTCTCATGATCTACGAGTAATCAGCATGCCCTTCCTTTAAGTAGAATGCTAGGAGCTTGGCTACATTTCCTTTGCCAGTACTATATCAGAAGCAACTCAGAAGCAGAGAGAGATTTGTAGAGACTGGCAGACTGACAATACCATCACATCTACCAGTGATAAGGACAACCAACATCCCCATCGCCACCAACAAACACTCAAGAAATGAAAAAAAACACACACACAACTGCCTGAAAACATGAGATGGGACAAATAACCCAAACCTCACAATCAGCCCCAACTGCACCAGAGAATGACATCCCTCGGAGATGAAAAGTGTTTAAATTATGATCAGAGAGCTCTGTTTAATACGAGAGGGCCAGACCGCATCCAAAGTGATTTCTGCCCTGGATGATTAAAATTTTAAAAAGTAGAGGCAAGCTTCAATACCTGAATATTTTATTTATGTTAATCACCTCATTCTCTAGCTAAGACATTATGGGACAATAAGAATAACGAGACAGTGACAGATGGTACAGCAACTATAACTTTGAACATGAAGGAGATAATAAAGCCATATTTTAAATCTGTCTGAATAACGTACACTTGGTAATGAGTGGCCGAGAATGGCTTGTAACTCCTCAACCCATACACAGTGCGCAAAGGCCTGGCATTCTGAGCGCCCCGGCCGTGTCACGTTCGCCTGGGCGTGCATACTTTAGTGCCGCTTGAATGCAGGTCAGTGTGCACCTCCACATGAAGGAGATAATAAAGCCATATTTTAAATCTGTCTGAATAACGTACACTTGGTAATGAGTGGCCGAGAATGGCTTGTAACTCCTCAACCCATACACAGTGCGCAAAGGCCTGGCATTCTGAGCGCCCCGGCCGTGTCACGTTCGCCTGGGCGTGCATACTTTAGTGCTGCTTGAATGCAGGTCAATGTGCACCTCCCAGAAGTGCAAAAGCCACATTAAAAAAAAAAAAACCACTAAAGAAAGACCAAAAGAAAAACAACCAAAAACCTGCTATCACTTAGGTACCTTCCAAATTTCACATACTACTAAAATTTCTACCTTTCCACTAACAGTTCCAACAGAGAACTCAGTAATTTTAGCACTCAATCAACAATTTGTACTTAGCAAAATCTTAGCACTTACGACGTTCCAGGTATCAGCTCTATTTAGAAACGTAATAATTCCAGAGACATCTAAAATGTGCATTTTTATATATAATCAATTTTCTATTATCAACCAGTTTATTCAGTACTAATTAAATGGCGATTTATATTCATTTTTAGCCATTTTAAAAATGTTTATTTTTTCAATTACAGTTGACATTCAATATTATTTTATATTAGTTTCAGGTGTATAGCATAGTGATTAGACATTTATATAATTTGCAAAGTGACGCCAATAAGTCTGGTACCTACCTGGCACCATACATCGGTACTGCAATATTATTGACACTACAGTAATACTCCCTATGCTGTACATTATAGGGAGCTGTACATTATAATATATTCAATTACAGTTGGCATTCAATATTATTGGCCGTAGTTTGCCCACGGCTGGATTAGACATTTATATAATTTACAAAGTGACACCCAATAAGTCTGGTACCTACCTGGCACTATACATCGGTACTGCAATATTATTGACACTACCGTAATACTCCCTATGCTGTACATTATATCCCCATGGCTATTTTGTAACTACCAATTGCACTTCTTACTCCCTTCACCTTCTTCACACATACCCACACCCCCATGTCGATGTATATTCTTTACCTGGAATCATCATCATTAAAAAACAAAATCCCAACTTCCTTTTTCTTTCTGTTTGAATGAAATATTATTTCATCTATATTATATTATCTTCCTCAGAAAAACACCATGCTAGAATTAAGACATTATTAAGAGCGCGGCCAGCATGGCTCAGTGGTTGAGCATTGACCTATGAACTAGGAGGTCACGGTTTGATTCCCAGTCAGGGCACATGCCCAGGTTGCAGGCTCCATCCCCAGTAGGGGGCATGTAGGAGGCGGCCAATCAATGATTCTTTCTCCCTCTCCCTCTCCCTTCCTCTCTGAAATCAATACAAATATATTTTTAAAAAAGAAATTTCAGTCCAAAAAAGTAATATTACCATGTTAAAAAAAACTGAGAAGAGCACTTAAATATAACTATGCTTTCCACTACCAAAACTTTGTTTTACATGGCAACTGTTTCTGAAATGCAGACAAACCGGGTAACAGTTTCACCAAAAAACATCTAAGATCTTTCTTTAGAACATCAAAATCTGTATCTAGTGAGCCATCTAGTTTTCCAACTTTCAATGTCATGATAACAGGTAATAAAAAGCACATGTCGGTGGGGGTGGGGGGTAGAGGGATTGAGTAAAAAAGAAAAAAAAGAGGGAATTCTTGAACATGGACAATAATGTGCTGATTGTGGGGGAGGTGGAAGAGGGCATAAAGGGGATAAATGGTGATGGAAAAAATAAAATTAAAATAAAATGAATTAATTAAATAAAATGAATAGAATAGAATAGAATAGAATAGAATAGAATAGAATAGAATAGAATATTATCCCTTGCCAGGGAAGTATAGATTTCACTTTTGTGAAAGATAATCTAAGCTCTGAGTTCTAATGCATGTAATGAAGTAATCTTGCCCAAAAGCTTGTACTTGAATCTGAAGTTTCTATATATCTTTCAATTAAAATTTAAAAATGTAGGGCACCGAGGAACATCACGGGGACCCAATCATCAAAATCCAGTCTATGAGAAATGCTATAAGACAAATGACCCATTTTCTTCAACAAATCGATTTGCAGGGTATCTCAACACTTCATTAAACCCACAGCTTCTATCTTAACGCCCTGAAATCTGGCAGTTCCTTCCTCTATGGGTACCTGTGTGATGGCGCTTTGATCACGGTACAGGACCAGCATAGTGGAGTATCACAAAGTAACTTAGAGCAGGGCTCTGAAGCTAGACAGCCTACATTGAAATCCCAGCTTCGCCCCTCAGTTAACTCTTCTATAAAACGGAGACAATGCCACCTGCTACTCCAAGAAATTTTAAGGGTTCAGTGAGAAAATACATGTAAAGCATCTGGCACAATGCTTGGCATATCTTAGGCAGCTAGGAACTACCTAGAGTGAATGAATGAAAATCATAAGCAGAGAAAGTAAATAATTGCGCATTTCGCCTCCTCTGATTTCATCTAACCACCTTTTTATAGATCTAGTGAACATTAAAATGCCAAAATGGCCAATAGTAAGGGGGAAAATATAGGGAAGGTAATTGGAAAATCATGCTGCCAATTTCTAAATACTAAGCTTGACTCCAAGGTGCTCAGGAACAGTTTAATAGCAGCAAACACAACCTGATGAAGAAGGGAATTATTAAGAAAGGGCTGCTCGGCCAGTGTGGCCCAGTGGTTGAGCAGTGACCTATGAACCAGGAGATCACGGTTCGATTCCCAGTCAGGGCACATGCCTAGGTTGCGAGTTCCATCCCCAGTAGCGGGTGTGCAGGAGGCAGCTGATCAATGATTCTCTCTCATCATTGATGCTTCTATTTCTCTCTCCCTCTCCCTTTATCTCTGAAATCAATAAAAATGTATTTTTTTTTAAAGAAAAGGGCTGACCTTTTACAAACCTGGTAAAAATAATCAAATTTCTTTTCTAACTAAAAGCAATCACAATAATTTTTAATAATATGGAAAACATTTTTTAAAGAATTTTTAAAATGTCAACATTACTGCCCTGAATCTCTATTCTCTTGCTTTAAACTAAAAAACAAATAGTATACAAATTAATTCAACCAACTTTTCCATCTGAACATTAGGGGGCATAATTTACATACTCTGAGTCAGGTGAGTAATATAGTAGTAAAAAAATAAAAATGTTCAACATAGCATCATCCAAAATTCTGAAAAATATTCATTTAAAACTGCTTAAAAGTTGTAATTCGAAAATAAAATATTTCAAATAATATGAAAATACTTACATCTCAATTTGTCCAGCATTTTTCCACCACACATAGTTGCTAACATAGCTTTAACTGAAAATACTGTCATTTTGCCTCGGCCCTCACTGAAAAAGAAATTATATTAGAAATAATTGCTCTCTGGAACCACAATAGCAATCAAATGTATCACTAACCATTGAGCAACCAGTAAATGGATCCTTTTTTCCTGCCACATTACCTTGGATAGTTAGAAACCTTGGATTTTTTTTTTTCCTTTGTAGAATTAAGGCTTCATCTAGGCTAAGTGAGTAATGCTAAAAATAAACCCAAATTATTTAGAAATGAGCTTTATAAACATTCTATACGGCAATTTCTACTGGTTGTGTAGGCAGAGGCAACTGGATGAACCAGAAGTAAATTTCTCATCAACTTAGCCCATTAAATCCACAACTGCGATGTTTTTAAGTATTCAAAACTAGGGCACCACTTGTTTTAAACACTAAGTCAGAAATGTGTCCGTCCATCAGGGCATTATAACAACAGCTTACTGTTGTGTAAACCAACAGGGTGCACACGGCTATAAAGATTTTATAATACATTCATCTTTGTTTGTTTTTACTATGACAACCTTTATATTCTCATGTGTTTATTCTAAGAAGCTCAATCATACCTGTCTCGGGTCTTCCCATATCACAACCATGAGAAAAGTGAAGGAGAAGGGTCAGGAATAATTCTTTTTAGGAATTGGAAAGATGAAATGGACAACAACATAGAGGAACTACCCAAAGTAACGCTGCACGGCACCTGTAGAGCCAAACTGTATCAGCAAGGCCCCTGGCCCTACACGTGCCTGGCTCCATCCACTCAACTACGCCCCGGCTCACTGCAGGTGGAAACTCCACCAGCCAGTTTGTAAAGTCATCATACGTAAGTAAACAAGGGGCTATTGTGCTAGTTTTACACAGCTGTGCTCACAAAGTGTCACAGCAACTTAGTAAAATAAATGCCTTTGTAATGATGAGAGCGACGTTATCTTAGTTTTATAAAGCAAGCGTCATCCTATTTATACTTACTAATGGCCCTATTACATTTACTATTTATATTAACTATATTTGTATTATCCTATTTATATTTACTACGTGTCTCCCATTTTCTAGACCTTCTTTGTATACAGTAAGACCATACCTGAAAAAAAAGGGCAAATTATCTATAAGATAGAAGGTCCTCAGTGAAAGCTTCGCCATGGAATACCAATGTCTGTCTGGCTTTTAACTATTACATCTCATTAAGTTTATTCATAACATAAAAGAGAAATCCCTACAACTAGTTAAAATTAGGATGGGGTATTTTAAATACACAGTTCTTCACAAATACAGATGCTGTCTTCCTGTCTTAGTACCTGGCGTATGGCACCTGGAAATAATAAGGAATATTCCTACGTCAAATATCCCTGTATTATATGAGGAACAGCAGTGGCTTTAAAGAGCATCAATTATGTTAAAATGCATGGATTCCTAAAATGATAGAGGGCTTTTACAGTGGACATTTCCTTTTGGTCACAAACCCTCCAAATGTTGAGTCTACATTTAAGCAGACCCTACCTTATGTGACAAGTACTCTTTCCACTAACAAAATATTGAAAAAGGAAAAACCTCAGATATCTGTTTTCCCATCTTTCTTTGAAATGCAGACATGGGCACATGACACAAGCTCCACCACTAAGATGCACCACTCTGGACTCCAAATATGATCTATTAGATGTTGGAACTCCGAACAGTCCACCTGGACGGTTGGCAGCTGCTGGAGTGGCCCCACGGGGGTGAGGCAGCAGAGACGGGGACTCGTGCGGCAGCACCCGCAGCCCAGCATCAGTGGTGTTTGGAGCTCAAGCAACAATATCTGTGCCCCGATTGGTGGCAGAAGGGCTTGTGAGACCATTTTTGCGTGACTTTGAGCTTTGTTCTTGGAGGCATGATCTTCAAGCCTACACTTTCCCAACACGCTCAGAGAGTCTTGAATAAGACCCACATCCTTTTAATAAATTAGCCAGAGAGGGTTTCTACTGCTTATGACTAAGCACTCGGAGGGATGCAGTTTCTTTCCTGGCAGGAAGTGGTCCAGAGAGATGAAGCAACAAGAGAAAACATCCCTGAAGGAGAGGAGGCATGCCTGGTGGTCGGCCGGCAGAGTGAGAACGAAGGAGTGCTCACAAACAGAGCCAAGCCTTGCTGCACAGATAATGACATTTTTTAAGGTAAACGTGCTCAAACATTTTTTGCAGACACAGATTTCATAATGCAGGACTATCCAGGAAATTCCACAGGGGAAAGTAAAAATTAACCTTAGAAGAGATTTCCATAAAATTCAGGATCCTGGTTACATCGGGGAGAAGAAAGAGGAGCTTCTGGGGAGATGACAGCGTTCTAGTTCTTGGCCACTGTGGTACTTACATTTGCTTTATAACAATTCATTTTAAACTACACTTCGTTTTCTGTATTTTTCTGTAGTTGTTTTCTATTTCTCAATAACAGCTGTTTTAAAAAAAATGAATCCTGGGAAAATAAAGGTTACCATTATTGGACAAAGGTAATGGTTTAAGGGAAAAATAATGAAGGGGAAACGTATAGGTTAAAAGACACTCAAGAGGCCCTGGCCGGGTGGTTCAGTTGGTTAGAGCGTTGTCCCGATACACCAAGGTGTGGGTTCGATTCCGCGTCAGGACACGTACAAGAATCAACCAATGAATGCACAACTGAAATAAGTGACCTTGACCGGATATAGAACCCAAGACCCTTTGGTGCATGGGCTGACACTCTAACCACTGAAAACCCCAGCCAGGGCTTTAGCTGGGTTTTGAACTGTGTGTGTGTGTGTGTGTGTGTGTGTGTGTGTGTGTGTCTTTCTTCCCCTTTTCATGCTGAATGCTAAAAACAAAACAATATTTTTTAAAAAACAAAAATAAACCAGTACCTTTTAAATTCTGAATATACCCAGTTGGCATATTATAGAATGGACGTTGCTCACTTAGCAGCCTAATAACCTATGATTATACCCTTTACCTAACTGATTCTTTTTTCTTGAAAAAACTCATTCTTGATCCTTCCCGCCATATATCCGAATTTGATCTATAGACACTGGCCAAGTTACATTTGAAACTAAGAGTTAGCTGCCCCTGGCCATGGCACATATAACCTCACCCGAGTCCATGTTTTCAGTGATTCCAAGGTGAAGTGCAGGTTCATACTAGAATCAATTCTCTTCAAACAAGATTTGGGAAAGATCTGGTTTCATCAAAAAACATGACTCACTTAAAATTGGACCTGTGATAGCTCCGAGTTGATTAGTAGGTCAATATTTAAGATGTGACACAGTGAGCAGTGAAGATTAACCCCCACGTAAAGACACGGAAATGAAAAGGTACACAGGTAATATCTGTCGAGGATGACAGGAGAGAGGGAGCTTGTTATTTTAACCCTGCCCAAACAGAATCGCTCCGAGGAGCGCTCTCCCTCAATAGAGAATGACTTTCTTTCTCAGACATCTCTGCATGATTCATTTCCATAGACCTATCATTTTACAGACTGACAATAAACCAAGCACATGACTTCTGAAAAGAGTTCTTATTATCCAAAACTGAGAAAACACCATGATTACCTCTGGGCCAAGCTCAGCAGACGATGAGTCAGCCTGAATAAACACCTGTGTTGGAACATGCAGGTAGGCACCTCAGAGGCCTCTGCAACCCTCACCTGTGCCCTCTGCATGGGAGCTGCTCGATTCAGTTGTCAAGTCTCAAATTCTGCCTATATCTTTTATATATTTTTTAATTTCTTTATTGATTAAGTTATTACATATGTGTCCTTATCCCCACATTACCCCCCATCCCCTCCACTCATGCCCTCACCCCCCTGTTGTCTGTGTCCATTGGTTAGGCCCATATGCTTGCATATAAGTCCTTTGGTTGATCTTATATTTAAACTCACCTAATCTGGGCGATGTTTATAGCTCTGCACTATCTAATAAGAGAGCTTGTTATTCAAATTAACACATTTGAAAAACAAGATGATTTTTTTTACTTAAGAAAACAAGCTGTTTTTACATCTTTAGCAAACAACTGTGGATGCTGCCAACTATAAATTAGTACTCCTCTCGTGAAAACAGAGTTCTATTTTAGAAACATTATTCCCAATTATCACATGTAGCTAAAGGTAATAAGAGCATTTCTCTTTGATTTTCAAAAACTCTTATTTTTCCAATTAATCCTAATTTACAAAACTTCCAGTGAATGGATTATGCAATAATCAGCTACAAATCAAGAATCCATTTGGCAAATATCAAAGAGCTTAATCAAGTAAGATCAACAAAAAATGTTATTCAATTTCATCATAATCAGAATGCCTGATTTTTTTTACCTGCTAATTTTCATTTCAACTTTATAAATATTTAATAAGAACCCAGTGCTGCACTTGAGAAATCAAAGAAATACAAAGTAGAATCTCTGCTCTCAAGGATTTTCCATCTTACTAGTATCTGTACGCGTATGAAGCAGGTCAGAGCATTAGTCTTTAGAAAGGACTTACACTGAATAATTCCCCTCCGAACTGTGATTCTAAGTTGATAACCCTTAGCAAGAAAGTATGGAAGAACAACGATTAAGGCACAAACACTCTTACTTAAAGTTAAGTAAGCATGTAAGGTACTAGCCTGTCGTAGGCAGCGATCATGAAGTTGAGGAGGAGGCTGATGGACTGCTCCACACTGATCTGGTGAGTAGAAGGCAGGCGCTTGTTCAGCTGGTAGTAGATGGATGAGATGACAGTCTCGAGGCGGGACACACTGATCTCAGTGCTATGGTCCAGTGTATTAAGGCCATTGTCTCGGAAGGCTTCGATCATGTTCCAGATATCAACAAGATGGACTGAAACGCAAAGAAAATAAACTATCAGCAATGTAAAGTTTTAATTAATCAGAAAGACATACCAACTTGACATATAATAGGTCAGTGAAGGGTGGCAGGATATGCCACCCCCAAATGCCACTTGGGCACAAGCATCCTTTTGAGCTAAAGGTACTTGAAAAAAGTGCCAAAAAGGGCACTCTGACCCCCACCTTTTCTCCCTGACAGCCGAAAATAAAACTCCCAGGTGAAAGATGTCTTTCCTATTCCAAGGGGGAAAAAACACTATAATCACAGAGACAGTGGATTGAGGCCAAAATTAATCCGTACAGACTTGTTAACATAACTCTTATCTTCCCTCTGTCTCCCCATACACACATTTTAGTTACTTTGCTACTCTTTGCGCAACCTAGCGTATAAGCACGCAGACCTCGTCACTTCTGACTCCTCTACAGTAGCCTCAAAAATACAGAACGCAAAATTTAACTGAACGTCAAAGAGAAAAATTCAACAAGCTTTGAGGGAAATATTAACACACCTCTCTTAGTGAGAGAGCAAACAGACAAAAAGTAAGTACAGATAGAAAATTAAACTTTACAACAACAAAGCAGTAGTAATGAACATTATAGGAAGTAGTGTCCTGATGATTAAAAAACATGCCTTATTTTCTAGAAAACACAAAAGACATGTATAGAAATTGACCTTATCTGAGCCATAAAACTAATTTCAACAAACTTCAAAGGATATAAATCATGTTCTCTGACCAAAATAAAACTGAGTTAGAAATCATTATCAAAAAGACCACTTTTAAAATTAACCTTATCTTTAGAAAGGAAGCAACACACTAGGCAACTTCCTTCATCTTATTAAGGGTATCTATAAAACACTGCATCATACATATTACTTGATAGTAAAAGGCTGAAAGCCTTTCCTCTGATGTTGGGAAGGAGATAAGAAACGCCCACTATTGCCCTGGTCGGTGTGGTTCAGTTGGTTGAAGCATCGCCTTATATATCAGAAGGTGGCAGGTTTGAGCCCCGGTCAGGGCACATGCGGGAGGCAACCAATCAATGTTTCTCTCTCACGTTAATGTTTCTCTTTTTTTGTCTCTCCCTCTCTCTTTCTCTCTCTAAAATCAATTTTAAAAATTGAAATTAAAAAAATAAAGAAATGCCCACTATCATCATTTCTATTGTACTTCAGGTCCTAAGAATGTAAAGATGCAGTAACTATTGGTATAAATATTGGAAATAAAGAAATATAACTGTGATTATTCAGAAATGACTAAATTAGACACATAGAAAATAAAAAAGATTCTATGGATAAATTATTAAATTTAATATTTGAGTTCAGAACAATTGCTAGACATAGATCAAGATATAAAAGTCATTGTATTTCTATGTATCAGTAACAGACAATGAAATTTTAGAAGTATCATAAGTTATCAAAGACTGAGAGATAAATCCAATGAAGAATGCACAACATCTCTACAAAAAAATCTATAAATGTAATTGGCAGAAATAAACACCTAAATAAATGGAGGAATATACTATGTTCACAAGAGGAAATCTCAATCTTGGAAATATGTCAACACTCCCAACTGGATCTATAGATTCAATGCAATCCCAACAAAACCCGACAGGGCTATACATTAAAAGGATGAATTGTACTGTATGTTAAATATACTTTAAAAAAAGGAAGAAGAAAAAAATCCCAGCAAACATTTTTGTTTTATTTTCTTTGTCCTTAGCAGAAATTGACAAGGAGAGTTTAAAATATGTATGAAAATAAAATGTAAAAAGGCCAATCTTAAAAAGAAAACCAGAACAAAGGAGGAATACCTGCTCTACCTGATATCAAGACCTATTGTAAAGTTGTCATAGTTACAACTAGACAAACAGACCAGTGGAACACAGAGACCGGAAGCAGCTCTCACAGACAGACAGACACTGCTATAAACGTTCTTGTACCTTTCTCCAAAGAATGTGAGGGAAAGATGCTGAGCAGGGCAGAAAAAGGATGATTTTCCCCATGGAGACAGTATAGGGACAACAGAACATACATATGGAAAACACTGAAATTTTTTTATGTAGGTTAAATAATCAAATGTTACAAAATAAAACTTCTAGAACAATGCATCCTTTACTTTACATTACTAAGGCCACTAGCCTGGTTATGACTCTCAACACTTCGCTTAAAGACTACCATTTCCCAAGAGTAATTACAGGAAGAATTATAAAAGTGGTAAGTTCTTTAGAACAGTGGTTTTCAAAGTTGTGTGTTTTTTTTTTACCACAACCCACAAAATTATATTTAAATCATAACACACACACACACACCCTCTAGACATATAAATTTATAAAAGTTCCACAAAATACTTTTTAGATTTACAATATAAGTTGGTTCCTGGTTTTTCTTTTTTTCTCTATTACATGCTTTAAATTCTGTCCAGAGTCACCAAAATAATTTCATAAGCCATTAATGGGTCACAATCCACAATTTGAAAAACATTGCTTTGGGATACCTACGACTTCAGTCTAGGATGGAACAGTAAACTCTTCAGAGAGCATTTAAAGCTAGGATTTTTGAGTAAGACATATAGTAGGGTAGAAATATTTAGCTGTAAAACTGGTTTGCCCAAGGCACGTGTTTATAATAAACTAGTGGCCGGTGCACGAATTCGTGCACATCAAAAGGAAATTAATGAGAAGGTGCAGTAAACCAGATTCGGGGCCGACAGTGCCCCAGCAACATCATAACCCACAGCCGAAGGTGGAATCATGTGGCGCCTGACTGGACACACCCTGGAGCCAACCTCCCGCAGTCCATCCCCAGTGTCTGTGGAGCGAGTGGGGTCCCTCTGGCAGGTGGGGTCTTTCGGCCTGGCCTGCGGGGATCAGGCTGAAATCAGCTCTCTGACATCCCCCGAGGGGTCCCGGAGTGCGAGAGGGCACTCTGCAAAGTTGCTGTCGTACAGGGTGTGAAACACAAATGCAAATGTGCAGTAAACCAGATTCGGGGCCGACAGTGCCCCAGCAACATCATAACCCACAGCTGAAGGTGGAATCATGTGGCGCCTGACAGGAATCGGGCTCCCTCCTCTCTGGTTTCGGGGTACATCACCCAAGAACCGCCACAGCCAAGTCACTGCAGCTCGGCAGCTCCTGCGTTGAGCGTCTGCCCCTGGGTGGTCAGTGCGCATCATAGTGACCAGTTGGAAAGGTGGAGGGACATTTAGCATATTAGCCTTTTATATATATACAGACTAGAGGCCCGGTGCATGAAGATTCGTGCACGGGAGGAGGGGGGTCCCGCAGCCCGACCTGCACCCTGTCCAAACTGGGAGCCCTCAGGGGAGCCCTCTCCAATCCGGGAGCCCTGACGGCTTAGGCCTATTCCTCATGGTTCTCTGCTCTCTGTGGAGCCTGGCCACTCTGCGCCTGCTGCCCCAGAGGCTCTCCGCTGCCTCAATCTTCTAGTTTTGTTATGAGAAGCTTTTCCTTACAAAAGACAATTTTCTCATATCTCCATTCTCCCTCTTCAGGTTCTTCTCTCAGCTCAGCTGAAGACCCTTCTCCTGCACAGAGGCCCTCCGCGGGGTGGAACGCCTGTGTCGTTGCCATGGCAACAATGCAAGCATCCTGGCCTGGCCGCTGCCATTTTTGTCGCATCAATTTGCATATTCCTTCCTTATTGGCTATGGGCGCTTCCATCTTTATTGCGGAGTGATGGTCAATTTGCATATTCCCTCTTTATTAGATAGGATTATATATACAGATGGCAAAACCAAGATTAACTCTTTCGGTCCAACGTGGAGGCTGACTCGACAGACCAGGCACTAGGAGCAGGTCCAACATTGAGGCTGAGATGCCGCAAACCGATTCAACATTCAATCCCGTCAATTAATTTGGGCCAGACTGTTTGAATTCCAAAAATAAAATTGGACCGCAAAGGGTTAAAGCTGAGGTGCTTCACCATTCTATGGCTGATTTTTCCATTATACAAAACAGTTTTTCATCAATACACACACACATATATGAGAAAAGGACAATAATGCTGTCATAAGTCAATTCATCTTCATGGAAATTAAGAGAAGAAAGATTTTTATGCATGTTATGTGTATATGTACACATTTATTTTTTTAACTTATTTTATAAGTAGCAATTGTGGTAGCAACTGCTTATGGAAAAGGCTGATTGTTGTTATATTAAGTTTAATTGTTATTATATACTGTACTAGAGGCCCAATGCATGAAATTTGTGCAAGAGTAGGCCTTCCTTCCCCCAGATGCCCACACCAGCTTCCCTCCAGCCGCCGGCACCTGGGACCCGGCCTTCCCTCTGGCCGCTGGCAGGCACCCCAGACGGGGGCTTCCCTCACACAGGGAGGCCCTGCCCACCTGTCATAGCTTGCCAGTCAGTAGCCTGGGCCTCCCTCTGTGGGGAGATTGTGGAGCCCCGCAACGGTTCGCCCCACTGGCCTGTGGCCTGGGCCTCCCTCTGTGGGGCGATCATGGGGCAATGGCCAGGCCCCCGACCAATCGCATTACACCCGCTTTGGCTGGCCTGGCACCAGTGGGTGTCATAGCATGGTCCCAATGGTCGTCCAGATGGTAGTCCGGATGGCCATTCTGCTGTTTGGCCATTCAGTCAATTTGCATATTATGCTTTTATTATATAGGATACCTTCATCAAAATATTCTTTTCCTCCAGAAGCTGATATATTGTATTAATTCTGCATAAAATTTTTCATTAAAAAATGACATGGAGAAACACATTCCCCCTTTGAAGAACATAAATAATATGCCAGTCTCAAAACTAGTTACATATTGAGTTTATTAAATATTTTGAGGGAGACACAAAGTGCCAGCTTCTTTCCATTACAAAGTTTATATTCTGATACTTACGACAAAATAATTCCATTAAAATTACAATATGACTAAAAGATATTAAAATCTTTTATATTATTGAGAGTTCTATATGGCTATTATAGAAATGACTTACGGTTGCATCGTTTTTGTACAAATCGTAATTTGCAAGCTGTTCTGTAAGTTGATAGTCGTATGACATCAAAATTCTGGGCACCTGAAAAAAGGGTAAATAAAACATGTTCAAGTGGACTTACTGGTTAATTTCTAAATGCTGGGAAGAGGCTCCATTCCATTGTATTGGCAAAGACTGCATATAACTTGCCAACTGAGTCTTCTGATAGAGCACAAAGGCAGGGGGAAGGGTTAGGGTACACTTCCTGTGTGCCTACTCCACACCAGCAGTTCTGCCTAATTACCCTATCTGCTAGCCTAGAAAGTTCCAAGGCAAGGAACACTCATGATGTGCGTGAACTGACTATACATATTAGGAAGTGGGGGTACAGTGGCACGGTAGGGAAGACCCCAGTGTAGAATCAGAGATGTAAATTCCAGCTCCGGCCTGACTGCCAACCACAGAACACAACCGTCGCCACGTCACAGCCCTCTTCCCAGGCTCAGTGTCCTCCTCTGTAAAACGAGGGAACCGGACCAGCTAATCTCCGAGCTCCCCTTCCAGGTCTGTGGCATAACAGAATTTCCAGTGCACTGTCCCTCCCGATCTAGAACTAAAGACTCTTCCCCGCTACTTGCATCTGAGCAGGTTACCGTGCCTGCCTGAATGAGTACCGCGGCAGACGTGCCTGCATGACTTCTGACGATGGGTGACAAAAGGTGGTCAGCTTGCCCCTGCTCTCACGCTCTCGGGATGCTGGCCCTGGGAACCCAAACTGGCTTTCCCTCTGTGGATGGGACCTCGGGGGCCACCCCAGGCTGGGCTCCTGCCTCCCTCTCCAGCGTCAGCTGAGCAGTACTGTTGTATAATAGTCAAATGCTTTTAAAGGTTTCACAGTCACTGGCCCAGACCAGGAACCCTATTTCCGGCAGAAGAATCTGAAGTCCTACAAGTATGTGTGCATCCGTCAAGGTCACCGAGACAAGAAGTCACAAAGCAAACCACCCTTCCAATACTGTGGACTGCCCTATTCCTCCCAGCCATTTTGTTTCTTTGTTCAGTCTTACAGAATAATGTAATTTTTAAAAAATATGTTTTATTGATTTTTCACAGACAGGAAGGGAGAGGGATAGAGAGTTAGAAACATCGATGAGAGAGGAACATTGATCAGCTGCCTCCTGTACACCCCGTGCTGGGGATGTGCCCGCAACCAAGGTACATGCCCTTGACCAGAATCGAACCTGGGACCCTTCAGTCCGCAGGCCAACGCTCTACCCACTGAGCCAAACCAGTTAGGGCAATAATGTAATTTTTAACAGAAGATTTAATATTGTATAGTAAAGTAATATACCACAGTACACATTCATGCTATTAACTTTTCCTCTTGCTCTAAGTGTTGGCCTGACACTTAGTCTTCTCTTCCTCCGCACTGGTATGTAGTGCAAGGTAATTTATATGACGTATTAATTATGCATCAGCACCTGCAAGCTCACGGTAACCACGGAGCTACAGCAAGAGGTCTACATTGACGGGCATGCCCTGATCTTACAGACATGCTAGGTAACACGTCTGCCTCATTCTTTATGGCCTGGCTTCAGAAAGCAGTTCAAATCGGTTCAATGAAAAGAATAAGGTCTGCCTTGGGGTCCTCCAACTCCATGAGTCTTTAACTCTCATTCTTCCCTTTCTAAAGCCTGTAACTTAAAACTTCTGATTAAAGCTGTGACTTGATCAGAACAGACAGGGGGGAAAGCGTTCCCACGCGTATAAACAAGGACGCCAGAGGCACTCGGACTCACGCATTTCTATGAACAGCTGCCTCTTCTCCGCCATCGTCTTCCGCTTATTCCCACTTTCCTCAATCATCCTGGGGACGAAGAAGGACACCATGAAGCACCGTATGATTGCACAATTCAACCAAGCGCTTAGCGTCTATTGTGAAGAGAGAGCCTCGGGCATCAGGTGGTAACCGCACAGACTAAGGGAGCATCAGTGAAAATGAACTGGAACCTGACACCAAAAGAGGAAAATCCTATTTCTCTATCTGATAATTTCTAAAATATTAAAAGTCAATACTTAACTGAGCTCATACACGCCTCCTGTGCTGAAAACTTGGGCTATATCTTATGTCTAATTTTATTTTCTCTGCACAGTCCTCTATTAGTTGAGATACAGATTCCCATATCCCTACTGTTTTCCATGAACATGTTACCTCATATAATTTAGAAAATAATTATAATGAAAGGCTACAATAGAGAACATAAAAACAGTGAACTTATACACAAAATATATAAATAAAATATATTTTTATGTTTAACAAAAGAAAGAGAGAAATTCATCCCCACACTCAACTCTTAAGTGCAACTTTTTATCACCTGATAACAGTAGTTTACACTGACAGGCTATGCCAGTGACTGGTAAAACTCTCTCCATGAATTATCTCATTTAATACTCCCTTCAGCCCTATGTGGTGGTATTATAACTATTACATTATCCCCATTTTATTGATTAGGAAACAGATGCCTAGAAAAGATCAGTAACTTGCTCAAGGGCACACAACTCAGAAGTGGTAGAGTAGAACCTCAACCCTTTCATTAAACTTCTTACAGAACTGTGCTTCTTAGAGGATATTTTCAAATATCTAGCCCTAAAAAGCTAGAGCACAAACAGCCCATTGCATGGGCCCTACTGATGCAAAATTTGTGACAATTTTAGCTGAACTTTGCCTTATTTTATGAAGAAAAATATGTAGACAAATAGCATAAGCCAAATAATTTCCCTAAGCAGATGACACTTTTGTAAATCATTCTCAAATATGTTAGTCACAAATTAAATAAATGATGACCACACAAATCCCATAGCCACTAAAGCAAAGTGACTGAAAAAAGTTTAGTTGTAAATATATCCTAAAGAAAATTTAAAATGAAAAAATATTCCTTAATATCCTGCAATTAATATTTTGATAATTAAGACTGGTTCTTTTCCAGGTCACTGAAATGTTACCAAATAGGCTACAACACACGTGATGGTTTCTTAATAATTTGCCCCCAAAAGGAAAGAATCCTATCTAATAATAGATAAACATGGTAATTGACCATACCTTCATTATGCCTCCCATTGGCTAATCAGCATGATATGCAAATTAACCACCAACAAATATGGCAGTTAATTTGCATACATAGGTGCAAAGAGGCAGAGTGAAGACTGAAGGCGGCTCCGGCCAGAGCAGCGAAGGCTTAAAGGTGGCTCCGGCCAGAGCAAAGGCCTGGGTCCCGGCAGCCAGGGGAAGGGAAGGCCGATCGCACGAATCTTTTTGTGCAACAGGCCTCTAGTTTTAAATAGAAAGAAAGTTAAAGAAAAAGCAACCAGAAACAGAAAAAAAAAACTAATAAATCTAGGTCCTAGAGAAAAAAAACAGGAGTTGGTACCAGTAGCCTGTGATTTCAAAGAAAAATCCTATCTAATAAAAGAGAAACATGGTAATTGGCGTATGACCGCTACCCTTTCCATTGGCTAATCAGCAAGATATGCAAATTAACTGCCAGCCAAGATGGCGGCCGGCAGCCAGGCAGCTTGAAAGTAACATGAGGCTTGCTTGCTTCAGTGACGGAGGACTCCAATGTTCCCTGCCTGCCGCTGCAGGCCTCTGA